GGCCGGTCTCCTTTTGCGTCACACCCTCTAGCGGACTACGCTTAGGGCTCTCGCGTAGAGCGCCTCATAAACCCTTGCACACGAACATCCGTCTGGCACAATGAAGTAACGTTCATAACCTACCTGCCATTTCTTGCTTTTTTAACTGACCTTATTTTGGTGAATTATCTGTACATAATCAAGGCTTGCGCCATATTTGCTAAAAACAATAGACACATGCTTTTCATATGCAATTCTTTGAACTGCGGTCTTGATGCTCGCACTGGCTGGGAACACCCCTGGTCTCGAGTCGGACATAAACAATTATATAAAGTACTGTTCATCCCGTCATGTATCGCATGCAGCAATGCACAGCACCTATATAGCCTGTGATCTGGGACCAGACTTAGTCACCAAATTAAGAGGATACACACTCTGGGACTACGAGCAAACTTATATCGAGATTACAGTTCACCCCGGATAAGGCGGTCGCCGCTGTATCCGACATACGATCACGCCAAGGGTTCGGCTTTTCACGCACCTATCCGGCCAGTCCGAGCAAACAAAATTTGTTCACTTTAAGCAACACAAAAAGAGGCAGAATGTATGGAGACATGCTTCTAAGAATAGGCAGTTTTCTCATTTGAAGTTGTGCCACCCAGTAATCCAGTTTGTCGAAGTCCAACAATAATGCGTCAACAATGACTTAACTTATTTTATGTACAGTCCCAAAGCCGTGACGCTGCAGAATTTCGCGGTCCATGATCAACTAATCGGATACATAGGCGACCTTCCCTTCCGTCCAAATTTTATTCATTATAGGCAGACGATAAATATTCCTTGGCGGGCGAGATACGCACTTGGTTCAAAGCGGTCGGTCGCGATGAATGAGAATGCGGCCGTATCAGAACAAACGGCGTCCTATAATTGTTTAGTCTCCAGCTTGTGCACAGCGTAACTCGAAAGGCAGACCAGTTAGAGCCCACATTAATAATAACACCCAATGAAAAGAAGCTGAGGTCTAGGATACCTCACAGTAAACTGATTGCCTTTAAGTAAAGGTAAAATCGGTCAAGCTGTGGCCGTGTGGGATACGCTTTTTAGGAAAACTAGTGAAAAACACCCTCAGAATTCACGGTGTACACCATCCCATGACTGGCTGAAAGACCGAAAAGTCAGATAAGCAAAAAAAAAATTAGTAGTCTATTCGGGCTTTTGTGCAATAGCTTGAATGAAAATACGCTTGATACAAAGGTCAGTGGCACGGTTTTCCGTTTTTCTGTGTATATAAGAACACTTAAGCACAGTTAGCCCAGCATCAGTCAACAGAGTGGTTAATTCCTCAATAGAGAAAAAGTAGGTGAATGTACCGTCCTGGCGGTGGTAGAAAGGCTTGTCTTCGAGAAGGCGGCTGCCACGTCCGAACCTCAATTGTGACTGGTCGTAGAGCCCGTAGTCGCGCAGTAGTAATTTGCCACCAGGTCGCAGAACGCTTGAAATAAAAGCAGATGAATGTAAGGGTTAATGAGGCCTTTGAGTTCGAAAACAAGTAAGATCCCACACTAACCGTTTCTAAAACTATGCCTGTCTTGAACGTCCAAATAAGAATTGTTCTTAGGTTACCAAACGACCGTGCCCAAGTACCAGACTGACCCTGAATAATGGAAGTACTTAATTCGCAGTATTTTGCACTAATCTCACTCGGTCGTCCCACAACAGTTTACACCAAGTCCTCTTCCAAAAAGTCTCAGTTGCCTCACAAGATTCAGTTGTAGCAGCCGATACTAAGCTCCTCTCCTACTATCACCAACGATAGCGGACAGCCAAACCGGCGGTCTTTACAATTCCTACTGCTCACGGATGTCATAAAAATGCAGCTAAGTACGCAACATCAAGCTACGGACTGGCCTTACATGATCGCTGTCAATCCCATTGGCGAGTAGCTATGTCCGCATGTTTTTTTTTACTTAACTACAAAGAAAACATCTAGACTGAGCAAGTGGTCAGGTATGCAACCTATCACAGCAAAAGAATCGAACGCATATCATGCGGATTTATTGACCGGAAAGGCTCGTGTATTGAACTCAGATCATTAATGGTGTACCCGCGCACGCAGATAATTACATGTGTGAAGGAACACAGATTAGACTGCATAAGAAAAAGTGAGAATACGCGTAAAACCCATCGGCTTCAAATTAGGAGCAACAGCCTCATAACCCGAGTGGCGTGCTAGGAAAACCTCGACATTTGCTGTAGCCAACCGGATGTAACGGTCAATGACATTTAAAACCGAAGCACGCGAAACACCTGACTTTTCCTATAGATGCAGTACGCGCACGCATATCACAGTGATGTGAAGCGACTCACTTGGCAATATTCTGCAGACAGAAGTGCATGGCATCCGGGTTAATAGCCGAGAGAACGAAGATGAGAGTGGCTAAATGAAAGCCTGGATTGAGCGGGGATGATTGATCGAGGAGGGTAGGTTTTGGGGCGTCAAGGAGTGCCGCGGAGAGAGCACCCTCGACGGATGTGTCACACACGAAGGCCGACACACAGTCCTCTGAAAAGAGGGGGTGCTGCTTGACCATGACCACAGCCTTGGGGGCGATGTCGCAGGCATAGAATATGGCTGACTTCGAGTCTAAGTTAGCAAAAAGGATGGGCGTCAATTATAACACAGAGTAAATGAGTGCAAAAATAACAGACTGGAATGAGTACCCAGGGGGCACGAAGGAGCAATGACACGACCAAAAGAACTATGGCATAGGAACAAGAAGGATTGCTAGCAAGATCCATTTTTGCATAGAAGCTCATTGGAGCTATAACTATAAGATGTAAATTGATATACACTCCCAAACTGGATCTCGTCAGAGCAGTACTAAACGGACTCGAGGAACCATCTTCTACCGAGTCTAAACAAAAAAAAACTGGCTACGGGGGATTTAAACGACGACACCTTTGTTGGACTCTGAAGGAGGTTCAGCCGCTGCATCGGGTTGCGACCCCGAGTTCATGTTCTCCAGGAGGGGGAAGATAAAATTGCCGACACCACATCCGACCTCCAAAACCATCATTTGGTCCGCACCGGGTTCTATGAGTTTAGTTAACTCCACAAATTCACGTGTTGTCCAGTGCCGATCCTATGAGGGTTGGGAAAGAGCAATACACTTACTTTTATGTGAGCAAAAGTTGGACTGATTGCTTCACTAGAAGAAAAAAGTGGCGTGGATGAACTGCTGTTAGATCGGATAGGTACCAAGTGCGTCAATGTACTCGAGCACGCATCAACACAGCAAAGGTGTATCCATAACCTGTAAACTCATACACGCCAATTAGGCACTAAATTTAGACAGGCCAACAGTTGAGATTACCTATTCAGCACAATGCTGCGAGTTTCATAGGATATTAATAACAAATGAAACGACGGCAGATCGAACCAACCTTGAAGAATCGTGTACCGTTTCTATTATAGAAACGATCCCAATTCCGACCTGCCTCTTTCAGCAGCTTTTTGTGCTGAAATTCCGAAGCCATAGACTTGACTTGCTTCTGAAGGGCCGCCAGGCTGTCATCGGAGAGGGATAGTGTCTCGAGGGTTTCGACACAGAAAGACGAGTCTTCGTGAGCGTCGGACGTCTCATGAACTGTCTTATCTGCATGTAAGGGAGAGACGTTGGATGAAGTATATTTTCCCCATCTAGCTATATTTTCACTACGCACAGACAACGGTACACAGTCAATATGTGAGTATAAAAAGGGAGTGGAAGTAGATGAGGCGATATCTGTTCATGTGATATCGAAACACGGCATCTAATTATTTAAATAAGGAATCCAGATTGAGGCTAACGGAAATATTCGACCAATCATTATCAGGTCAATGGTATAACATATGATTAGGCTTTAGATTGGTGGTGTGGCATGATTATGTAAAAATTTGCAATTTTTATTCACTAAACAGGGAGGCCACGAGGTTCTAAATGTTGTGGTAGCTGGTGAAATGTTAGGCGAAACGGAGTGACAGAGCTAGTTGTTGTGACAATAGAATAGGAAAACAGTAGAAGTCCCGTGATTCGCTCAATCTCGGTAACAGTTTCGAAATTTGAGACAATTCTAACGGACCCGAACAACTGCAAAATGAAATGAGGATGAAAGAACACCAGGGCTACATGGCTTGCCGAAAAGCCACGAAACCGACTTACCAAGTGATCCACTAGCCAGATAAATTGGTTAAGACAATAAAACCGGTCGAACTGCTGATGCAGCATCTCTCTTTCCTAGTAGCCTCTTGACAGAGATAATAAGAAAGCGGAAGGAATATTTGGTTGCCGGGGAATCACTCTATTGTACATTCGAGGTAGACTTTGGGATATATTGGTTAAGTATGAGGCAATTTTCATCAGCACACACCAGCACCCAGAAGAGCAAACTTTCCCTTTTGACCCTACAAATGAGTCTCTATCATATTGCTTGATCCCGTGTAGTGGGCCACAGAGATTCAACGACAAGACGCCTCTACAAGAGGACATTTGAATATTGTCCAGTACGACTGGGCCATACTGTCGCAACCCTAGCGCTGTTTTACCCTTCGACCATGAACATGTCGTGACAGTAAGCCTCCGACGAACGTGTAACCGAGATGGGAAATTTAAATAGAAGCGGAAAAATATATTAGTCTTCCACACATACCAGTGACATCGTTCTTTTCACATTCAGTAGGTTGCAATCCCTGATCACCACTCTCTCCGGCCTCGTCTGATTGCGAAGATTCTCTAAAACGCAATGAAGGTCACCTAAAGAGTAAACACACCTACTCCGAGTCTTGCTGCATTTCGGCATCCAGGGCAGCATACATATCTGAATAAGATTCAACTTTCTTGTTTTTGTTTTCCGCCAACTTTGTTTCATAGTTATTTTGAATTTGAACAACCTCGGCCTCCGTACGACACTGAGCATAGGCCGCCAGCAGATCCACATTGACGGTCAAGAAGGTCGGACCCCATGAAAATTTGTTGAGAAGGATCTCAGCCTCTTTAGGCCAACCGAGGATGTAGAGAGTGGCTGCAAATGCTTCGACACAGGTGAGCTTGTGCGGCTTGCCATAATTAACAGGATTGACGGCCAGTAAGTACGGCACCAGTCGTCCATGAGAATATTTCAGCTGCGGCAAAAAAGCAATGGGGACAGAGAATGGTCAGCCACGACTCCCAAAATGCGAGGGTTAAAAAATAAAAAGGAAAACACAGAGACTCAGCACAAAACAGACCAAGATTAGATAAAAACTGGAGATTCAAATGCGTAAGTAGGTCGGCATGGACCAAACTGATGGCATATCTATAGGCACCAGGATTATGAAGGATCACCTAGAAGAACAGTGTTAAGTGCGCGGCGTTACTGAACGATGCCGTTTTAGAGCAGCAGAAGAAGCTGAGAACTTGCCTCCATAACATATTACAGACGGAGGTTTGAAAGGCGAGAGCACATTGAAATTAGGAATAATAGAGCCGCCGAAATAAGGTTAAATTTACCTATCGCATGAGCGTCCGGTGGAAGTTATCCATACCCTTAGGCTTAAATATGTTATAAAAATAGCATAAAGACACCAAGAAGTCTTACTCCACTAGGAACCAACGGCTGGAACCTAAGCAGGATAAATGCCTAGTAAAGACGAGTAGCATTTTAATGGTCGCAACCAACCAATAATAGACAAAAAAGATAATATAAAAATATACAGTAGACCATCTAAGTCAAGAACTAGAGAACCGGACGGGAATATGCTACTAAAGCCAGCTCGGGGAATGCTATCCTAGAAGCAAACAAGAACGTAGGATCCGAGATCAATCGCAAATAATGACTGAGCCAAAGAGCAAAAAATATCAGGTAAACATACTAAAGCTATCCTAACAACGGATATGTGGCTTAAGTTAGCACGACCTATAACGCCTAAAGCGCTACAGGAAGGTTACAGACTGTGCTAATTTCGAAAATATATCCAAGAAAACCTTCGATGACGTTAAAATATTGATTGGTAAAGGCAATATAAAGATTTAAAGCGTTCTCTGTAAGAATTTTAGATGGATATGATAGCCAAAGATAAGAACTTTATGTTAACGTTAGACGTTTTGGAATCCATTTGGTGGTCAAGAAATATATTCTAACTCTAATAATTCATACCTTCCTGAAGGGAGTTTTGTCGAGTTGGGCCCAGGAGCAATCAATCACAGCAACGCCGCATCGTTCGACGATGCTGCGATCACTATGTGGGTCGAGATATTGGGACGCAGTTGGTGTGAGGACAATACCATGGAAGGACTCATTTAATTTGAGGTGTCGTGTTAGACCGAAGCGAACCAGTTTTCGGCCAGTGCAGCGCTTTGGATCACACTGACCCAGATCCCACATAGCGGTAATCAGGCTGAAATTATTAGAATTGCCATCGCTCCCCGAGTTTTCTTCTGAACCCGAATCCGAGCTGCCAGACGTAGACTCAGTACTTTCTCTGGTGGATGGAACCTCAGGACACTCCGTCGGCGACTCGCTTCGAAAGCCTTTTCTGACAGGTTTTTTATGGTACTTTGGGGGAGGACGGTTGCCTTTTCTTCGTTGCATTGCTACACTTAAGGAAAAGAAAACTAAATTTCCAGGGCCAAAACACGGCATTATAAAAGAGCAACGAAATTATCCGCTGACGAAAGAGGCTGTAGGTTGGAAAAAAGTTAACCTAGGCTTTTCAGCAAATCAGTTAATCCTTTGGTATTTGATGGAAGTAAGCACCCATCTTCCAATGCAAGCTGCCATTTGACAATTTGTTGGAGAACTCATAAAATTAAAGAATATTAATAGAGCTAGGGGTAGAAGTGCGATGGTAGACAACGTAATATGCCCAAAATAAAAAGTAAAGTAGGCGGGATAAGGACAATCCCTGGTTTTTAACGGAATCGTACAGGCAGCCCAGAAGTCAGAGACAGCAATTGCCACACCACGACAAGAACCAGCAGACTGTGTCCACGCGGGGATAAGGTGTGAACCAGAAGTATGTCCGACTACGGCCAATCGACAAAGACTAAAATATCAATCGGTGTTATAGCGTCGCTAGGCGAAAGAATGAGTAATATGCGGCGCAATCAGTTAGTTGACAAAGGGGCTTATACGCTGCTGCCAAGCCAAACCGACTACCACAAAGTCGTTGATGGGAAGAATGCGAGACCATGTAACCAGATCAGTTTGAGAACTTCAAGTTAGCGACCGGAGACGGCGTTGATCAGATGACTGATGGATGCGGAGGATTGTTTAAGTAAGTTTTGGTGAACACTTCCATTAAGGATTATTTTGCAGAAATGGAAAATGACGAATGTTTTGCGGCCATTATTAGAAGTTAGAATGCTTAGGTAAGTCATAAAAGTGGTCCTAATAAGTCTTAAAAAGATTTCAAGGATAACAGTAAAAAATAGCAGTCTGTGGACCTTTCTTGGTTCTGGACATCGAAGAGAACTAGTAGAAAATGCCGACTTGTTAAACGGAGACAGAAGGCTACAACCTTCGAAAGGCGGAAATGGAATCGAAAGAGCCGAAAGCCGTGTAATGCTAGTTAGCTGTGAAAAGGAAGACACATCGCAACGCAGGGTGGATAGCTTATACAAGATTTGTCTAAAGTTTTCCAACCCTCCGCGCCCCAACATAGCAGTCCCTAAACATCAATAAAGTTAATTTTTCTGTATTTTTTATAGAAAATTCGCCACTCAAAAATGTGGACAACCATGGATTAGTAACAGATAATGGATAAGAAAAATTCGAATGTCCGAGAAAAGCTGTGTTGGGTGCTGTGGTAACGCATTTTAAAAGTGAAAACGGTTGCAGCAACTCTTTTGGTAAGGAGGCCTAGCTCATTCCCGTTTTCCATGGCATGGCACCAAAGAAAACAACGAGTAATTCTAGTCGACTAAACTGTTATAGCAAGAGTCAGACTTTTCGTTTTGTTCATTGAGTATGGTCATGGAAGGACGGTAGGTTTCGGGGTGGTTTCACTTAGGCCAGAAAATGCCATGTGGTTGTACTAAGAGTCCAGAAAAGTCCTCCAGTGAGTTATACAGGAGTTTCCATTAGGAGTTCATTTACACAGAGAATTCCATAATATTGCTTGGGTTCCAACACGTTTGCAGGGTACCAGCCTATCTGTGCTTTACATTCGGAGACTCATTAGTAACGAATCATCCAAATAGCCTGTAAGTTTGGGTTGTGGATTCTTCTACTAGTTTTCACCTAGGTAAGGTCCGAAACCAGTAATCAAGTCGGTGGGGCAATACACGCGGCCAGATACAATAGTTTAAATGAAAACAGATCCTAAATGAGGATAAACCACCCTTCGGGAACAGCAGTTACCATCTATACCAAAAATGCTTGCCAAGTTGGCAATTGGAACATCTAAGACAAGCATAGTTTATACCGGTCTTGTTACCTGTTTCATTAACAAAGTATTCGGTTGACTTGTGACGTCAGGGTTACAAGAGCCGGATAGTTAGTATGTTAAGATCGGAGACAGGGGTTATTTAACCCGGGATATAGATGCTTGAATAGATGTTTGAAGCGGGCTGTCGACGTTCGTAATACCACGAGCTGAAGTATGTCCAGCAAACAAGGACACAGCAATGAGCTATCTTCTACGGCGATAGGCAGAAACCCTGTCATGCCTCGTAATCGATCACCTGATCTGATTCTTTTACTGGTGTCAGTCATATTTGTGGTTATGACCCTATGAGACCCAGGACGCACATGCAGGGTAAAACATCCTATAACATCAAGCATGCACTAAGTTTGCTTTGGGGCCCAGAGGACAAGGAGATTGTCCCTTGTTTAAATAGGTGGGCGCAGGACTTCGAGTTCCGGTCGAAGATTATGTAAGTGGTGTGTCATCGCAGTTAAGATGCAGGAGTGTTGCCCCTTCCATGGTGGCAGCCTCCAACTCCACTCTCTACTTTAGACAGTTATGCGTAACAGTTGTACTTCGTGCTAGAATCCCACAATGTGGTGCCCTCTCCGGTGGTAGCCTCTAGTTCCACCTTCCCCCGACTGTCGTCGTGAGTTGTGTATGACTGTTTATATAACCGCCTATGACCATTTCTCATCTATTCGTCATAAACGCTTGTTTATTGAAATTAACAATGGTTGCTGCGATTAACGAAGCTTCTAGTGGATTTACAGTGTGTGGATACAACCAGAAGACAGCAGACGCAGACGAACACCGGAGTACCGGCCCTACTCGGATGGAAGATAGGCTACCCAGTGTTAAAGACTACTAAGACCTAAACTGACATTACGAAGGCTCCAAAATTATATGGCTTTGTTCGAAGTTGAGCGACGGAGAGATCCGAAATGTTTGACAACTTCACGTACTTGGCCATCGCCACGTGGCCAGAAGAGTCTTAAAGAGTTGCGGAGTGCCTCCAAAAATGCACAGAAAATTAAGGTCAGAAAGATGACGATGTTTGCTGCAACGAAAAGACAACCAGAAGAGTGCTGAAGATTTATTATCTAACTGCAGAGATCGAGCCATATGAGACTCACTACAACAGAGTCCGGTTCAGTTCAGTACAGGCGTAGATGAATAAATGTAATCAAGAGACTTAATAAACAGTCATCAAAACATAAGAAGATGAAAATTGAGTCCAATCACCAAACTCAACAAGTTTAACTTGAAAACTAACAAAATTACCTCAAAACACGCAATAAAAGAGGAAAACGTCCCGATACAAACCTTCTCAGGCTGTTGCAAGGTCGCTCAAATTGAAGGTCGGGGAAAGTTTTGAAGTCACTAGGACAGATGTAGGTTGTATTCCACAGTAAACATAGTAGCAGATATTTTTTTGCCTTCTCCAAATAAATGTGCACATTTATAACGAACGCAAGCGTTGCAATACAAAATAGATTTTATATGGAAGGAAACTTAGAGTGATGGAAAGCAGCGCGCAGAATGCATAGCAGGAGCACCAGAAGTTAAGCACAGAAGAAGGGAGGTCACGTGCGAAAGCCTTATACTCCCAATAAAGTGATTTAAAATATACGCTGTACACGGTTATATGACGAATAATTTAAAGTCCAAAAACATTAGAAAACGGCACACTAAAAAGACAAACGCAAAAAGAAGATAAATTAAACGAAAAAACTTCCCTTGCAGTACATTGTCGTGTTGCTTAGATGAGTTGAACTGTAATGTAAAACGCTAGTATAAAATAAGACATTTCTTATCTATGGACTGTGGATATATTTTTTCACCTTTGGTTTAGCCGTCCTTTCCGTGCATTTCCAAAGTTAGGACTGAAGCCGAAATTACTTCAAACGATTTCTTTGTCACGTCCTATATAAGTGCGTTGTGCTTTCTGTGAACAGTTCTCTTTTTATTACCCTATTGAGTATTCGTGATGCACTGCTTTTCTTTCACTGTCTCCAGCTTTGAAGGTTACATTCCCCTTAATGTTATCGAGCAGTTCACCAAGTATCAACGGGAGATTTAGGCTCTTTAT